CGTGGCCAGGAGGTTCGTGAGATGGGAAAGGAGTAAAGTGATCTTGTTTCCACTTTCTTCCAGCTTCGCATTCTCAGCCTCGGCCCGCCAGTGTGCTACCATCGTGAGCAAAGCTCGCTCTCCACTGAGTATCTTCTCGGGTCGTTGAAGTCGTTCTTCATCGGCAGCCTTTGGCGCTGCCTCGTTTTGCTGGCGCTGCTGTTCAATTGCCAACAGACGTGCCTTCTCGGCGTCCTCTGCCTTCTTCTTTGTTGTGGCTGCTACTGCATTCGACCGTTGCTTGGCTTCGGTAATCAGAAGCAGGATCCAGCCCTGATAGGCCTCCTCCTTTTCCCCGGACTTTTGGTCCATGACGACTGTTTGCGAGCGCAAGAGCATTGACCAGGTCGGGGTCCTCCTGACGTGGTACTCCCTGCTGCTGACGTGGCACTGCTGTCGACTGACGTGGCCTGCTGACGTGGCAACTCACCAATGCCGCCGCAAGGGGTACCCAGAAATAGATAGAGAAGATCAGAGCGTCCAAATCACTCGTAGTTTTTCTTATCATTGATCGTATGGTCTTGATTTTTTTTCTTGGTTTTTGATACAAACTCATTCCGATCTTCGATGCCTAAAAGTAGACTATTGTAGTATCTTTCGAAACCCTATGGTTGCTAATCATAACACCGTGCGGTAAATTCTGATTCGGATAGTCTTGAGGGGTGTAATTCTGGCTTGTTGTGTATATCTGTGGGGTTTCCTTGAGGGTTGGAGCCTCCTCCCGTGAGGGTTTCACAAAGTGGGAGGTGTTATTCTTGGAGGGGGGAGGCGGTATTGGGGGATTGTTGTCTCTTAGCCAGCTTGATTTAGGGTCGGATCAGTACTGGTGGGTGGGGAGAGAAGGCAAGGGGGTGGCTGCTTATAGCAGTGTGTTAGGATTTTTTTGTGGGAAGGAGTGTCTTCGATGGCTACACAGTGAGCCGAAGGGGGGGCGTTGAAGGAAGGAAGGTAGCAAGGGGATTCTCAACAGAAAGGGTTGTTTGTTAGGGTAAGTAGGTTAGAAGGACGATGTTGAGACGACACATGCCGGTGTTGGAGCCTCTGCTCTATAACCCAGGGGGAGCTTGAGGCCTAGGAAGTTATGCCGAGGGTGGAAGGCATAACAAGATCGTCCGACATAGTTGGCGCCGGGGTTTTCACCCTGTAACCTGTTTAGGGGCTCGCCGCTAAGGGAATTGTCGAGGGAGGAAGGCACTTCCTGTCCGTCAGAGCTAGGTTGATCGGTACTGGGGAGGGTTGTGGTGCCCTATTAGGATAGTACGCAGATTTAGTCTTGCCCCTCCCGCCCTTATATTTTTCTAAAGTTTTTCAAATGTCCCAAAAAGAGTTGGGTGGTTTGTGATCCTAGGAATGTTTTTTAGGACTCTGGGATCCCTACTAACTCATCTTAGGTGGCTTCAATGCTGTGACGCCCAACCTCACGCCCAACGCGACTTCCTGATCGGAGTGGGATGTGGGCCTGGAAGTGCGAAAAGGGGTGTGCCAAGGATTTTTGGGAAAGTGGGGGAGTCTTAAGGATATGAATGCAATTAGGCGAAAGAGGGGCGCGTGCGCAGGGGACTCAAGGCCCGATGAGGCCGGGGCACTGTGGGCGACGGTTTGCGGGGAAATCCCTCCCCGGTGGAGGCGCTCTCGAAAAGTTAGGCCGTCAGGGGCCGCCACGTGGCGCAGGTCGCCGCGTGCTTGGGTTGGGCCTTCAGAATTCCAGAGTTCTCTGTTCGCCGCTACGTCGGCAATTTACACAAAACGTGTTGGGCCAATAGGGGGCTATGGCCGGCCACGGAACAACACTGAGTTGATGATTCAGGAGAAGAAGGCGGAAAGGAGGGAAACTGGTGGTGATCTCAACGAATCCCGGGTGGGCGAAGTAGTAAGTGTGGTCGGGGGAAGGGAAATCGGAGCACCGAGGGTCGCTAGTGGTGGCACAGTGAAATTCTCGCGGACATAGCCAATTCTCCATGTGACAAGGGTATCGCGTCCTTATGAACTCGTTTATTATAGGGGTGAAATAGTCCGGGTCATAGGACAAGTCTGAGCCCCAAGATCGCGTCATGGTATCATTGTCGATGGGATAGCGCAGGTCGGGATATCGTCACCGCGCACGAGCACGTATAGTACAGGCCGTCTCAGTGGCGCCTCAGCTTGCTTGTATGGGATGACGGTTCCGCCTTAATTCTTTTTGGGTGGGCGAATCGACGTACGGGAATGCGTGTAAGGGCGCGACTCGGGTCGCGTTTACACGTGTTCTCGCGTGGCGTTCGCGGAGCCAGACCTTGGATCGTTTAATTGCTTCGGATTATGCAAGATGCAACCATATCACAACCCTGATCGTGAGACAAGCAAAACGAGAACAAAATCGCTATCGGGGCGAGATTCTTATCCCATCTAC